CACACATATACGCACACACACACACACACACACACACACACACACACACACACACACACACACACTTTACCGTTGACTTGACCGGGACATATAGGACGGGTTTCCCTGGAGCTCCTTTCTTGTTGTGCTCTCCCAAAACGTTGGTCCCGACCTGAAATCCTTTAGACTTCACCCAGAATTTGAATTTGGCGTTGATGTGGCTGTTGTCGATATAAACGCCATCCGACTCGTCGTTCTGCAACAGTGTCTGCATGATTTTGTTATATTTTCGCCGGGTGACGGTCTTTGTTTTACCGGAGTCTCCATAAGTCCGGAGACACCAGTCCTGAAATTCACTGAACATCTCCGCCTCCAACACGACCAGACTCCGGCTCCTTCTTGGCCATCACCACGCCTTTTTCGTTGCCATCTGCTCCCTCTCTCCTCTCTCTCGCTCTCTCTCATCTCCTCATCCTCTCTCTGTCTCTGTCTGAACCCGTTCAAACAGCCCAGGCTAATAAAGAGAAAGACTTGAACGGGGTCGATTCTCCTCCCTCTGGTCCCCGCTGTCCCGCGTACAGGAGGCTCGGTTCAGGTTTTGGGACGCTACCTCCCTGTGGTTTCCTAGCAAAAGTGACCCGGACAGTAGCAGCACACCTGTTTGCAGAGAAGCAGTGCTGTCCCGAACCGCAGCGGTGAGAAATGTCACTTCCTCACATCATCCGCTGAGGAGCAAGAGAGGGGGGCTGTCCTACAGTACGCCGAGCGGGTATCTCCCACCTGTGCGTAAAACGCTCTTCACTAAAGGGTAGGCTGGAAAAAAAAAAAAAACCCACAGTCCTCGCTAAACAACAAAGAACACAGACAAAAGCGTGGAAACAAACGTCGCTCTCAGTTCCTATCGACCTAGTTTCTAACAGTCAACACTATTTTCGGATGCGGGTTGCTCAACCCTTAAAAAAAAAAGGCGCAAAATATGCTCACAATGTGCTCTTATATGGCCACATATCCGATCAACATGCGCCACCTGGGATTGTTTCTGCTCCTCACACCTGTTTGAATGTGATTCTCGCTTGCAGTGTCTCTGCGCTTTCTATCCCGTGAAAAACACAACCACACACAGTTTTTTTATATCTGCATCACACTAACTGGCTCAATTTGCAGCAGAGCCTGCGGTTTACAAGTATGCGTTATGTTGCCCAGGCGCAGAGAGAAAATGTCCGATATGGAGACGTGGAAGGTGAGAGAGGGTGGGGGCAGCGTTTATTTGATGCTGTCTGAAGAATATGCCAGAAAACACTGATAAACACATTTTCCTTTCAGAGAGAGGAAACATTTTTTTGAAGATACAAGTGGACAGTGATGCGTAGATGGATAAAAACGTGGGTAAAATAGTTCAAATCATGGTGGGAAATATACATCTATTTAAAAGACAACATCATCAGTTTAATTAATGCCTTCTTTATTGTGATATACAGATTTTTACTGAGCAAATAAATTTAAAAAATAGTTTAACAAATAGTTTGCAAGTGGTGTTTAGAGACCAAATTATTTGAGAAAATAAGTTTCTCTTGTGAAGCTTTGACGTGATTTAAATCCTCAACATCTGTCACAGTAATAAAAATAATAACGAAGAAATAAAATAAAGAAATAAAGCTTTTTTTAATCTCCTTTCTCACTTTCAGATGTTGGGACAAAAGGATGGAAAAACTGCACATATTTAGGATCTGTAGGCCTAATTGTCTCCATAAGTGTAGTTTTCTGCCTGTGTGATGTCGTGCTCTCATTGTGTGTGTGTGTGTGTGTGTGTGTGTGTGTGTGTGTGACTCCTCCCTGCACAAACAACGAGCCCGACCAGGAAAACTGCGCTACGGCGGCTGAGCCCAAATAAACCGTAAATACATGAAAGGAAGCAGCAGAAACGTATATGAATAAATGCTCAACGACGAAACATAGCTGTCTTAAAGAGTTTATGTTTATGTGTTTTTTTTTTAAAATAATTCATTCTGTGCTGTTTTTTAAGTGAAATGTGTTACGTTACTGTACTGAAATTGTTTTATGTCTCGCATCTGTTTCCACATACAAACTGAATCTGACAGACTCCCAACCTGGCAACCCGTGCGCGTTCAAGTCCTATGGGATGGATGGGAAAGTAGGCTACGGGTTTCCATGTTTACGACTTGTGGGTGTTAATTATTATAATAACAATTAGACAACTCAAAGACAGTTTGTGGATTAACGATAGAGCTGCTCGTGTGAGGGATAAAATACAGCTCATTAATAACACAACACCATAGCGATTAAATTCTGAATTTACTTTGTTAAACACATTTATAAATTAAGTTTGGCTGACGTGAGGGATACATATTTGTTTTACGGCATGCTGTTATATGTAGGAACATTTAGAAATATGTGCTTTTCGTAGTCGTAATTACAACTTGGTCGTTGACACGTTTTACGAGATGAAACTTTTAATTGCGATGATTCCGAATTGACTTGAACGCGGCATCAGCCCACAGAAGTTTCGCGTCATATGACCGGTAGCGTCACACGAACAGAACAGGTTAAGTGACAATATTTGTTTGTATCTTGTGGCGTTATTTCATAATAACAATCCATGCATTGTTGACCACATTTTCAGTATCTTTTCCGAGGAAAAGTTTAACTTGATTGTGTTAATGGCAGCTCAAAAGAAGTAGGTTAGATTGTCATCCTGATAGGCAGTGGCAGAATAAGTACTCAGATCTTTGGTGTCAATACTGCTGTGTAAAAATTATCTTGTTACAAGTGAATGTCCTGCATCCAAACTCTTACACTCTAGTAAAAGTATAAAAATACTCAAGTTAAAGCACCAAAAGTAGCCAAAAGCACTCATTATGCAGACTGTCCCATTTGAGAACCATATATATTATATAACTGGATTAAAAGTAGTTTAATCACTTGTGTTGCAGTTTGTGAAGGTTGGACTTCTTTTAATTACTTTATAAGGTGCTTAATCTATAATAGTACACCATGCTCTATTAGTTGATTATGTTTCCCATTAAGAATATAAATCTGCTCAGTAATTTAAGCTGTCAAATCAATGTAGTGACGCAAAACGTAGCTTCAATATTTGCCTCCAGTAATGTAGTGTGGAGTAGAAAGAACAAAATGGAAATGCTCAAGTAAAGTACAAGTACCTCAAAATTGCCAGATGTACACAAGTACTGCACTTAAGTACTTGATTGTGTTGTCATGGTAACTATTAGGCGGTAGTTTCTGGCTGAGTGGCCCTTCTCTATTAATAGCCAAAGATCCCAGTAATTTGACCAGGATTTTAAGTCATTGCTTTCTCAGTAGCTCACAGAAAATAAGACGTGTTGTCTGCAGGTTGATGCTGAGCTGTCAAACATGTGGTCACTGGTTACTTAGCAACAGCATATGAGACAATACCCTGGAGCTGCTACTGAACGCACTATTTTGATGCATGGCCCTGTTACTTATTCAGTGGTATCAAATTTCACCAAAAAATAAATGCTGTATTACTGTTGTTTTGTAACTCAAGATCTTGATCAGCAGACTGTAGCTTAAGCTGCTGCCAACACAGAGAAGTAGTGGCAAAACAGTTTACCATTTTTTCAGATTTTCTGTCTTTACTGTAATTTTTAGCAAAAACAATTCTTCTGCTTTGCCATGTATTCTTCTTGCAGGTGATAAAACTTACTGTCCTGTATTTGGATCACATATGTTTCCATGTTTAGAACCGATTATCTTAATATTAGGGGCAGTGAACCAATCATACCATATAGTATAGGCCTGAGTAAAGAAACAAGACAAGAAAGACTGAAATTAAAGAAAAATAGTGGGAATAAATAATGAATATAAATCACTAACACTTACACAACCCTTATATGTTATTGTATACAAGGAAATACACTCATGATATACATTATAGAGGAGTGATGTGACCCCAATAGTCCAATGGACTCATTCATCTTTAAATGAGGTCACTTACTGTAGATCACTGGGCAACACTGTCATAAATTTATGAAGATGCTTCTCCTTGCTTTTATTTTGGCACGGCCTTTCCATTGGAAAAAACAAACGTTCCTCAATACCATTGTGTACTGAGGTTTTTCCTTGCCACCGCTCAAATTAAATCCAATCAAATGAATAATGTTTGTAGTAGAAACTACAGTATAGAACTGCTTTATAAGTTGTTGTTTTTTTCTTGTACCTTTTGTTAACATAATTTCTGAAATATCCTGAAAATCCTGAACAGATCTAGACTCTTACTTGGAGCTACCAGCTCTACTCTTTTAATCTTATAGATATGATTTGTTTAAATCACTTCCTAAGATCTTACCTTTTCTCCTAGAACTTAATTCTCTACCAAAAATCTTTAATTTCCATGAAACTTTCTTCCCAAAAACCTCTGACTCAGTGTTTTAATGTTTACATATCTGCGTACTCCTTCTTTTTTTTCTTTTATGTGATTATCATTTAATGTTTCCTTTTATGTCCCTAATATGTATTTATATATGTATGTGCTGCTATTGTTTACCTGAGTGTTTGTACCATAGACTGTGGCACTGTGCATTATCCCGCTGGTTCCCACTATGGGTCGCAAGGCCTTTTTGATTTTAAAGGGAGTAAAAAAACTTTAAAAATATACACATTAGGCCTACATCCCAATATTATATATATATAAGCAGGATAAGGTCACGGTGAATAACTGAACAGGTATATTCACAGAGCCTTCAGTCTGATAAACAGCCTCATCCTGCATTATAACAAATAGCCAAAAAAACAACAACAGAACAATGAGAAAACACTAAATCTGTTAAAAAAGAAGCCTATTAGGCAAGCACAATTGTTAAAGAGTAGCGGATGATGGGAACTTATGCTCCATTTCTATTTGTTGAAAACTGTGTTTGATAGTTGTCTGCACAGCTACAGACCTAACAGGGCATATTTTTCTTCCCAAAAAATAAACAACTTATATGCTACACAGAGCTCAGCGAAGATGGGATGGACAGTGTGACCCTAAAACTTAAGGAACATTTTGAATACTTGACTCTGGAAATGTAACTTTTTATTGCCAAGAGTCCATTTTGAAATTGTGGAAGCAGAGTTTCACACCGGAGAGCTGATGCTGTAAATAATAAATAATGAAAACAGAGTTTAGAATAAAAATGTCCCTAAAATTATCAATTACTAGGAAATTCTGCTCAAAATGAATCCAAATAACTTGTTTTACACACATTTTCTGCAGTTATCGTGCTCACTATTTGTTTTCACTGTAGTTTATTAGTTGTTCTTATTGTCACGCATTAAATACAATGTGAAATATCCATCAAATGTGTCACTTAGCCAGGGTTAAACACTTTACTCAGTGATAGAAAAGGAGAAAGGTTGGGACTGTTATCCTGTTGCCAAGACAACAGATAGCCAGTAGGGGGCGACGTACGCTCAATTGTAGCTTTGGGCGCAGAAGAAGAAAAAGCTGCCGTAAATGAATAAAATGAAGTAAAAAAAAAAAAAACTCTCCGCAGCTTTTTGTGAGAAGACAACGAAACAGCCGTAGATACCCGTGGCCGTGGCCGTGAAATAACACAAAAATCACGTCGAAGGTGAGTAAACGGTTGCGTTGCTGTTTTTGAACGCAGTGAAAGCGCGTGGCTTCTCTAACGTGAGTTGGCTGCGTTACTAGGAAACGGGCGCAGCCGTTCGGCGGTTAAGACGAGCAGGTGAACGTTACTCGATGGCTAACGTTGAGCAGCTAACGGAACAGCTGGCGTTAACTTTACAGCTTCACATGTAACACCGGGGAAATGGTGGTTTTAAAATGTGCACCGATGTTACGGTTTATTTAAAATATGTGTATTAAAACAGAACAACCCAGTTACATAAGACTATCTGTTCTCGTGAGCCCGGTGCTGTGGGGGTGTTGTACGCCATTTGTAGCGTGGCGGAGTTGAGTTTTGTCTACACGACGAGAATAGCGACCAGAAAACACTACTAGTTATTGTTTATTGTTTTTATTTATTTAAAAAAGGAAACCCCCGATATAATCTCTATTTGTCGCCTTTTCAATTAACATGCGTGATCTTAAGTCTGTAGTTACATGAGCGTTTAGAGACAATGTTTTTGGTCGACAGCCTAATTTTAACTGCACATAGTTTACATTAACCTCTAAACACTTAATTTACCTGCACATGTTTAATTTCTATTTTTCTAGTTTATTTTCTCTCTCGGCACATATTTAATTCCTCTGCAAAAGTTTAATCCATCCAATTTAATGCATGGCTACTGTGCTTATAGGTTAATTTTAATGTATGAATGTATGTTTGTTGTATGTCTAATTTATGTTTGTATGCTGTTACTGGATGCTTGGATTTCCCAAAGGATAAATAAAGCATCTATCTAATGTTTTATTACTCTGTAGAAGCAGCATTTACTTGACTGGAGCTCAGTGTTGCAAGGTTTATTGGCATCATTAAGTTATAAGATAATAATAAATGGTTGGTTCTTGTCATTGATGGATATACGTGGCTTTAAATGAATATGAAACACTTGCTTCGGTACTCAGTAATCTGTGAAGTGTGACGCTACTGCAGACATATATTGGAGTAAGTGATTTATTTCCATAACTATATATAGTGGCAATTAACTTTGTTTTTTTTCCTTCTCTTTTTAGACGCTTGGGGGTTTCTAATTATGCGGACACAGAATCCAGGGCATCCAGGTTCAAGTTAAGGTATGTAAGGTACTGCTTCCTAAAAGGGATTATGTAAATGATCTCCAATTATATAAATTAAATGTAACAAAAAGGACCTTCACTTTCTCATGTCAGTTTGTAATGTGTGTGTGTGTTGGGGCTGAAAACCTGTTTTCTGATTCTCTTTTGCTGAAATCATTTTGTATTGTGTGACGTTAAAAACATCACTTAATCCTTAAGAAACAAAAGATTACTTAAATGTTGGCATTTTAAACGTCACCATAAGCCTAATGATTTCATTTCCTCAATGTGATTTTCCTCAAGATGTTTTTTTTTGTACCATTTCAAGAGAAGCGGATGATGGGAACTTATACTTCATTTGTATTTGTTGAAAACTGTGTTTGATAGTCGTCTGCACAGCTACAGACCTAACAGGGCGTATTTTTCTTCCCAAAAAATAACTTGAGAAACTAAGAAACTTATATGCTACACTGAGCTCAGCGAGACAAAGATGGGACGGACAAAACTTCAGGAACATTTTGAATTTCTAACTCTGGAAATGTAACTTTTTATTGCCAAGAGCAGAGTTTCACACCGGAGAGTTGATGCTGTATTTATCTCTGTGGGTACCAATGCTATTTGACCCACAACAACAACCGCACTGTGTTTTCATCGTCGACTTAAAGCCATTTTTAACAGTTTCGCAGGGACCACCTCTTTTTACACAGAAGCCACAAATCAGGCCTGGTTGTGTGTTGCGTTTCACACAACCAGTTCAGCTATTTATGTCTGCACAAAAACACTTTCTGAAACAGCTGTCATGACCTGTTGCCTTTTATATAATGGCAGTGTATTTTCACTGGTTAAAAAGCAAAGAGTCATTTTATGTCATAGTTAAAACTATTTAATACTTGAACAAATTTATATCATGGTGCATTCTCTACAATTGTGCCATTTATACCGGATATACCTTCTACCCATAAGACAACATCATGAGAATCACTTCAGGATTGTGTTGGCTTTATTTATTGTTTCTCAAATCTCGATTTCAGTCTGGGAGACTTGTACTGAAAATTAACGTAGCCCGAACAGATACACGAGGAATTTGCTCTGCAAGCTCTCACATACTTAAAGGTCGAGTGCAGAGTGAAATTAGATAATATCGTAAGGCGAAAATGAGCATCGAGATATAAAGGGCGCATTCAGAAATGTTTTTAGACTACTTGCTACATTTCAAAATGAATTTGCCACAGCATTTCATTGTCTGAACTTTGATGTGACTTTGATCTGCAACTTCTGTTCTACTTAAAACTTTTTGTCCTTCCAAGGAATTTGATCTCTTCTCTTAACTCACTGACATGTTTCAGGATCGTGGAAGACAATTTAAAGGCGCTTAATAGCGAACAAACTTTTTCAAGCATTTGAGACGTACGAAGAAAACCCTTAAACTTGGGAGTTATGTCTCGCCGAAGAAGCCGCAGCTCATCACCAGGGCGTTTTTCGCGCTCCTGCAACAGTAATGATCCCCGAGATTTGGAGAGACGGATTTTTGTTGGGAATTTGCCGACCTCTGACATGGAAAAGAAGGATTTGGGAAGAACTGTTCACACCATACGGAGATAGGTCGGTCAGTAAACGCAGAATTCGTTGTTGTTTTTTTTAATTTTAATCATGGCAGTAATGTTGAATCAGCAGATGTCATGAATGGACAATTGGAGATTTTCAAATTTAATTTTCGAATGTGCGGTGTAGAATGCTAGTAGCCATTAACTTTTTCACATGAAGATCAACATGTAACATTTGTATATGAGCTGGGTGCCACAGGACTCATTTTTAAGTGGGGTAAAATGGGTAGGTATCCCAAAATTGCTGCTTAAAGTGGCATCAGCACTATTTACTCAAAATGTTCCTCTTCCCAGGCGTATTCCATGTCTTCAGTGGGTTGGATTCTGTACCATTTGAACGCTTGAAGGAAGCGGAACGACTGCGAAGTCTGCCCAAAAGACGAAAAAAGCTATATAAAGGTTATAGAAAGTATGTAAGCCTTAAAACTGCAGTAGGATGTGTGCGCTAAAAGGGATAGATTTTTTAATTATTATTTTTTTTTTTTTTTTTTATGATTTTTTGGTGTGTACAACAAGCAACGTAACATAGTTCAGTTTTTCTTTTTTTGTTGTGAAAAATGTTGATTGGACATGATAGTTTTAGTGTTAATTGTGGATTTGGTGATTTTAAAGGTTTTCTATGGATAAAAGTTGTGTATGAAAGCTAGAGATTTCCTTTTATTAATTTAGTTAATAACAATTACAGGCCTAAAATAATGTTATGTTAAAGGGCATTTTAATGATGTGATATGTTGCATCCAGTAAATGAAAGTGGAACTCGAAAACTAACTTCACAAAGTGAAGGTTGTATAATTTGACCTACAACTATCTTAAAGTGAACTAGATTAGCTTTGCTGAGTTTCTACCATAACCTTTCTTTGTGTAGACATGTTGCATTACTGGCTCACTAAGCAAATAAACAAGTGCATTATTAAATTCTGGCAAAGCCTGAATCACTTAAATCTCTTGTTTTATTTGCAACACTGTCTTGAAATTTTCTTCAACGTGGATTTAAATGTTTCTCTTAAGTAGGCCACTTGTGATTTTGGGAGTTTCTGAATGCCAAATTTCAAGTTGAAAATCTAATTTACACATTCAAGCGTGGCTACTGTTAAGCCAATGTTGAAGGGGAGAAAAGAATCGCTTCATTTCTTGTTCATCTTAAACTCAATTTGACTCTCGAAACCCGACTCGATTTTCTGCATTTTGACTCTCGTCCAGTTTGGATTTTCAAGCTTGGATATTGGAGCTCAGTTTCATTTGGATCGTGGATGTTTTGTCGCGGCCGCTCCATTCTGCGTGAGCGCATAAGCTGATTTACAGCGCATAGCTGATTTGATGTCACTGTTATGTTCAACGTTTGGATTGATTTATTTTCAGATGTAAATATGGCAGTGGAGCGACGGCAAGCTAAACCTCAATCCCAGCAGAGCCCTCCACGAAGGTAAAGTAACGCGGAATGGGTGTGAAGAACTACCATTGCCTCTGAGTTGCCGGTAAAAAACAAAACCGTATAACTTTTTCCTCAGCTTTTATTTCTACCAGTGGTGAAGTCCGCTTCATGAAAGCTGTCGTACCAATAGATCTTTTCACCGCTTGTGTTCTTTGCGTGATTTTGTTCAGCATTTAATTTTCTAAAACAAATTCGTAACTGTACGGCTGAAGGAAATGTAATGTCAGTCCCACCCTGCCCCGTATCTATTGAGCAGGTTCATGTCCTACAACATGGCTTTGTAACTAATTAGGTGTGTACATTAAAACCATATTTAGTCTAAAGAACAGCTGCCCTAAAGCCAACCATGTTTAAAAAAACAGATTTAGATTTAGGCAACTACAATAATAATAAAATGTAAAGGTACTCTTTGAAGTATGTCATGAACACTGCTGCGTTTCTTGACATGACAACCAGTGAAATAACGTAAACTCTTCGTATTTGGCAGAACTGTATCCTGTAATCTGCACAATCAGCGCTACGTGTGGTCATGAACTTCACAGGGTACCTTTTATAAAAACCAGCACATTACCAATGTTGGCCAGTTATTGTGGGTCTTACTGACTGAACTTTAAGCGTTGTTTCTTCTCTGTGTGGTGGTACTGAAACTAGTTCATAGCTCGCAACTTAGACACTTGAGATTTTTATTCAATCCAAGTTGTGTTTAAAACCAATCCCTTTTCTCCTCTCTTCTTTGACTGCAATTAAAAACGTTTTGAGGTTGAGGAAAGAAGGGAAGACAAATCATGAGAATTAAGCAAAACATACACTTCGATGAGAACCAAAGAACTGTTGACAACTTCTGAAACTTGAAGTCCTTTTGTCTCTTTTAGATATGTTAGAGCAAATCATTGTAGGGAAGCCTCTTTTTAATAAATAATGGCCCTCTGTGTCCTACCCTAAAGGCAGCAGGCACTATTTTTTGCATTTTTGCAACTTCATATTTGCGGCATTGAAATGTGACTTACTGAAGAACAAAAGACAAATCATCAAAAGCCAAATGAGATAAATGCGGGAAATAATTTTCAATCAAAAAGGTTCAATGGCCATGGTACCTGCGTAGTTTATGGTCAAAAAACCTGAAATTGCTGACAAATCGATAGTGTTGCGTACACGGATCACTGGACGATTTCAAAGGACGCTTATCAGAATCACCTCCTGGACTTCATTTGTGCTAGTTCCCTTTACGAACACAATGGTGGTTTTCTGTTGCTCTGCTTGAGTTGTACAAATTTATATTCCATCTTTTCATATTGAATAATTACAATTTATAAAATTAGCAGTAGCCAAATGGTGGTAAAATATGCAAGTGGCTGGCAGATTTGCTACGCTCACCAGCCAAAAACCAGGACAGTACCAACTGTAGGCCTGTCCTCACTGGTTGTGGACAGAAGTTCCTATCACTCTTTGCAGTATTTCATAGACACCATAAACTTAAACCTTCCGCTCACTAATTGCTAACTTTTCTCCCAGGGCCCCGTATAGCAGTTATGGGGACAGCAAAGATCCTCAGCCTCGGTCACGTTCACCTGTTTACGGGCGTGACGGACGTGAGCCTCGGGACAGCCGTGATGGGAGGGACCCAAGTAGAGAGCCGCGGCCAGGTAGCCACTCTCGTGACAACGATTATCGGTACCGAAGCTCAGAGAGCAGAGACAAGGACCTCAGAGGTGATTCGCGGGATCCTGCATACAGGTGACTAATGACAATCAACCCTTTAGTTCCTAGTCCAGAGTTCAGTGGTTACCTGTTTGTCTGAACCTGAAATGTTTCCATACAGCAGAAGTGACTATGACCGATACTACCGCAGTGGTAGTGGTGCTGAAGACTATTACCGGAGGAAGGATGAACCCTACAGGGACCCTTACAGAGATCCCTGGAACGGACGGCGTGAACCAGAGGGTATGTGTACTCTGTACTCAACCACCTTAGAGTAGTATTATATACTACGTAATACACTTGTTTCCCAGTTTATCTGTAGTATTAAACTATTGTATGTGTATTAGTAAGTGTTAAATATTATACTGACGTTACATTTTCCAATCACTTCCTCCTCTGTAGATGATCGTGCTCGACCAGAAGAGCGTCGGCGTAATGAATTGTATCGACAGTACTATGAAGAACTCCAGCGGCGCTACGACAGCGACCGTCCTGTTGACTGCTCTGTGATTGTCGTCAACAAGGCACAAAAGTATGTCCACTCTCTGTTCTTTACAGGAAACACAGATCTGGGACCAGAAACGTCTCTGTAAATATTGGATCGGTACATGGAATATTTTCATTTCATATCGCTCCTGTGTGTGTATGTGTGTGTGTGTGTCTGCCCGTGTATGCTTGTGCTTCAAAAACAACTGTAGGGAGTATGCTGAGACGGTCGGGCGGAAAGTCCGTGATTTGGGGATGGTGGTGGATCTGATCTTCCTCAACACAGAAGTGTCACTAACCCAGGCACTGGAGGATGTAGGCAGAGCCCGGACTCCCTTTGCCATCATCATTACCCAGCAGCACCAAGTCCACCGGTCCTGCACTGTGAACATCTTGTTCGGCACGCCGCAAGGTGAGGCAAGACCACAAATTGAAACTGTTAGTTGGGGTCTCTTCTGGTCACTCTTAAAGTTAAGAGGAAAGGTGCATCTGTTTTGTTTCCAATGCCAACATTGTTGTTTCTTTCTTGTCGTAGA